AATGAATAGAAAAGAAGCCAGAGGCTGGTGTGCATGCAAGAAAGCCAGTCAGTGAAGATGTAAAATGTCATCTTTACTGACTGGCTTTCTTGCATGCACAACAGCCTCTGGCTTCTTAGATATTTGTATGCATGTTTGTGTATATATTTAATATAACACAGAATAGCACAGCCAATGTTGTTATGCGTGTATGTAACAGGGTAACCACTCTATAAGAAGGAGCAACCAGCCCTATTAAGGATTCCCTAATGAGGGAATGTCCCACTGGGATCTTTACTGACTGGCTTTCTTGCATGCACAACAGCCTCTGGCTTCTTAGATATTTGTATGCATGTTTGTGTATATATTTAATATAACACAGAATAGCACAGCCAATGTTGTTATGCGTGTATGTAACAGGGTAACCACTCTATAAGAAGGAGCAACCAGCCCTATTAAGGATTCCCTAATGAGGGAATGTCCCACTGGGAGGTTAAAAACCCAGAGAAGAGAGTAGAAGAGATCAAGCTGTGAGGGAACACCTTGCAAGGAGAAGCCTGGCTGCTGTGCTAGGAAAAAAAAATAAAGCAGAGTGTGGCTCTTCTGCTAATGCCCAGAGAGACTGGAGGATTTTGATTTGTTTGGCTTGTGCTGTGATACTGAAGTTTGTTGTTTGATGGGAATTCAATTGCCCGAAGACCTAAATCACAGAGCTAACTGGCTTCCAAATGGCAGGAGAGTAAAAGACCCACTTACAGTGTAATATATACAGATCTGTACAGGGACATGAATTAGTTTCATCCCAATATATACAGCATAGCAGATGAAGATTTTCTATAATATTAAGCAAATAATAGACATGAATATAGAAGATGACATTTTACCTATGTAACTTATTTTGTATACCAACGTAACTGGCACCTGGATCCAATGTGACTACACAAGGAACTTTCCCAGGGTAGCTACACGTAATAGGTGTTATTGCAATGCCTCACCAGTAGGTGATAAGGAAGAAAGCAAGACCTGTTTCCCTTGAGCAAGCAGCTATCCTTGGGTAAACTGGGGTCAGCATATATACCAGCATAATTTACACTGGTGTAATTTTAGATTGGGTGAAGTTTCCCAGTTTAGGAGTGTACATTATCTCCCTACTCCTTTTTTACACTGGTGTAATATTGATCACATCCAGTGTAAATGTGTCACCTGTGCAAGCCCTAAAAGTTGGAAAATGTAGCAGAAATGATAATCAAGAAAAAAAAAAAGCATAAGAAAGAAAACCTTGTCTAAAAGTCTTGCTGTAGTCCTTGGAGGAGAACACTGGACTTCGTTCTTCACACACAGCTGATCAAGGAACTCTCGAGCTTCTGCAGGTAAAGGGGATAACCATTAATGCATGTGTCAGTAAAAGAGTTCAGTCATGAATGAATTTTATTTGCCATGGAGGAAAATATAAAGATTTGTTTCCTCTCAACATTCAGTATCCTCTGCTACTTCTCAGTTTAAATGTTTGCATAAAAGAAAAAGAGCTAAGACAATTCTTGAGCTTATAATTGTCCATATAATGGAGGTAGGAGCAGGATTTTGAAAGAAAATATCAGAGAATTTAAAGCTAGCAAGAAGTATCAGGTATTTGAAGCAGACTTATTATATGCAATCATTATCCATCCAGGGAACAGGGAACAATAGTTTCCTCCAGCTGCTCTGGACCTGCATTTACCTGGAGTTCACAGGAGTAAGATAATTCTGATGAGACTGTAGTTCCAGAGTGGGATCATGTGTCTGATTCCTCATCTTAAACCCCACTGCGACCTATCCTGAAAACAGTTCAAAGCCAGTCATGTTTATCCAAGCTGTTTCACTGCAGCCTCCTTTTATCTGAATGGCAATTCTGTTCTCTATCTCAAATAGTGCTCTCGAGTTTCTCCCCACAATTAATTTGATCTCTATTTATCCAAATATGTTTTCTTTACACTTTTTAAAAATGTAAACAGAATTTTACCGCAATTGTGATCTTAATTATGTGTCCCACTGAAAACTTTACCATTTAAGCCATGGTGCCACGTTATATAAGCCACAGATGCACATTAAATGCATACCAAATGCACATCAAACTCTGCTGTTTCATTAATATTACCATGTCAACAAAGAGGCTCAAGTGAATCACAGCTGTGTATTCAGTCTGGGGTCATTCATTATCTGGTGTTCAATTCAAGTCCATCGGAGGATTATGAATGTTTTACAGCATCATCAGTTGCTTTCCTTGCATAATGTTTGACAATTAGATCCAGTACTGTGCATGTACATTTTTATTATTACTATTTACTTTTATACTACTTCTGTATCAGAAGAAAATACATGAACAAGCTAAGAAGACAGGAAGAAATATCTGAAAAATCTCATGGATCCAAGAAATCATTCCAGTATAGTCATATGAATTAGAATAGTGTGTCTATGCACCAGTATAAAGTTTTGAAATTATTGAATAAGTTTTCTTTATCACCATCATAGCTGTTTGGTTTGTACTGGTGCCCAAAGCTTGAAATGTTTAGCAATTTTTCACTTCACTGCACAAAAAATGTATTTTCTCCATACCCATACTTCCATTTTTCAAGCACAAACTAGCAGATACCAGAAAACAGAAGAGTTTATTCATAAAGGAAAATTCAACAGAAAAATGAAAATAAGCAGAGAAAAGCAGCTTTGCATGGAAAATCATAAATTCCATAATAAATACATCTCCTTTCCCTATAAGTGTGCTGAAATTGCAAAGAGACTATTAGTGAGCAACAGTAGTTCAGGCGAAAAAGCAAGGCAACCTCGTGCAGTTGCACATTGTCTGAACCAATGATTCTTTAGTGACTGATTAATGGTCTGCTTCACAATTTAAAAATGAAAATGGCTTACAATTTAATTCATCACACCATTAAGTATCTAGAGACAAGCCCAAGTATATTAAACGCACCCTCGGTATCCAGGCTTTCTGGTGCTGGCAACTTTTCTCCAAGTACTTTCTCCAGTTCTTCCATCATGCTGACTCGTTTAAAAGGAGGTGTGAAGTCAATTTCTACTGCTTTTCCCTCAGGGCCATCTGGATGGTAAGTGATCTTATATCCGCCCGTCAAATGCTTTACCATGCCTTAGGGGAAGTCAGACGCCAGGTTATCAGAGAAGTCATCTTAATCTGACTAACTTCCTGACTTTTAGATGAACAGCCCTAATATAACATGCAATACACTGCCTGTTAAGATCAAAAGATATTTTTTGCCATACCTTATATGATGTACAGTAGTTTATTTTTAATACAAATGTCAACAAAAAAGGTGTCCATCCTTCTCAAATCTTGTTTCCCAAGTCTTATTGTTCAGGATCATTCAAACTAGAAAATGTATTAATCCTTTCTCCCTTCTCTATATTTTTGCAAGTGATTGCATTTCCATTTGGTGAATACGTGTTATTTACCTCTGTCTATAACGCACAGTAGCACAACTAAGGGGAAGGGAGAGATGACTGGGACAGCAGCTTGGATGCCACGGTTGTATGGGAGTTGGAGGAAAGCAGAAAAAATAGCCACAGTGACAGGAGTGACTGATCTCAACACCTTCAGAACCATGACAGCCAGTGCTGCTCCATGTGCTGTGGTTGTACGGGGGCCGGAGCTGCCCTGCTACACCTGTGACACCTTCATGGTGGGTGTGTGACTAACAGTAACCTCAGACATTCAAGTCGCTTACTAATGAATGAATACAATTATTGCCCAAGGGCATACCTGACAGCAGCTGTTCAGTGATGTCCATGAGGTCATTGTGATCTGCATAAGCCATGTAGAACTCACAGGTCGTAAATTCTGGATTGTGGGTTTGATCGATTCCTTCATTTCTGAACTGGCGTCCAACTTCATATACCCTCTCCAGACCTCCAACTACTAGCATCTAAGAAGAAGAACCAAACATTTCCTCATGAAACTGTCTTCTAAAGGAAAATCATATCTGTGTTACAGGACTCAAATGAAGACAAGTTAGCTCTAATCTTCACATATGTTAAATAAAGCACTATTTACTAGTTACTGTGCAGTCATTTAGTACTTGGTTATACTAAATGACTGAGCAGTAACAACTGCACAGTGGGCATCTCATGTAGATGTGCCCAGTGGCTGGCTTCCTCTGTGAGGACTCAAGAATTGGGGGTCTTCAATATTTTAAAAACTGAATTTAGATTTTGTGCTTTCATTAAAAACAAGTGTTTTGTTATATACAGATATTTGTTTCTCCTAAGTGTAAATAGCCTGCATAAGTTAAAGGATTGTGCTTCAAATCATGCTGTATCCGCAATATGAGAGGGATATTACAATAACTTACTACTTTTCCAAACAGAAGTGATAGAAAATTAGTGATAGGTGGTAGAGCCCACTTCTCAAATGTAGCCTAACTTTAAGAACATTGTGTAGGCAATATTCAGTACATATGTGAGAAATCTTGTTCTGTGAAACAGTGAGAGCATTAAATATTATTGCTAGATGCATTAGCTGATGTTAGACAATCACTGTACCTTCAGGTATAGTTCAGGAGCTATCCTCATGTATAGGTCCAGGTTGAGCTCATTGTGATGAGTAATAAAGGGTTTGGCTGCAGCACCACCAGGTATCATGTTCATCATGGGAGTCTCCACCTTTAAAAGAGTAAAAGGACTGACTATCTTCCTAACACATAGGTTATAGCCGAACAGAGTTATGGGATGGGTCCTGAATGCACTGGATGAAATTCTGTGTCTTGTATTATGCACAAGGTCAGACTCAATTATTATAATGGCCCATTTCTGGCTTTAAAATCCATGAAAGAGAAATTGCTTTACATAACGAAAAAAAGTAGAAGGATGGGCTGGAAACTGAGAGATTAACTATTTCTACAGGAATGCTTCAGTGGGACGTCAAGTAAGAAATTATTTCACATTACTGTATTCAAGAAATAGATTAACTTTTCTAAATAATAACTGTTTTTTAAATAAGAGAGGGAGTGAATATATTTAACATGACCTTCACTGGAAGATTCTTACTAATGCCAAAAAACATTTCTGCACTACATTTGTCCTAACCATCAGCACTTTTTTCACCCCAGAATAAAAGGCAGTTACTTTCCACAGGTGAAAGTGTGTGTTTCTTTGTTAGTGTGTGTTGTTTTTATTGCACAAATTCCCAGTGTTGAATTGAATATTAAAACCTCACTGTTTAAAGGCAATGTACAAGAGGATAGGAAGCAGCAATTCTTGGTGGCAGGGGCAGTGTTTTAAAACAGCATTTCTCAACCTGTGGGTTGAAACCCAAAAGTGGACCATAAGAATATACGAAAGGGTCATAAATAAACTTTTTAAAAAGATCATATTTTGCATACATTTTTGAAAAAAATAGATGCTGCTTGTGCTCCACTGTGTGTTAATGCTGTGCATACTAATAAACAAGGATTCAGGTTTTCCATTTACCACAGAAAAACATGGATTTTCTCCTTTAAAGGAGAAAAATGTGGGAAATCTCAGGTCTCTGCTTGAGTTCCAGCCTGCAGAAAGCTGCTTGAGGCTGGGGGGAGCAGGAGGAGGGCAATCAGGTAGAGGGTGCCAAGTGAATGTGCATGCACACATATGCAGGTAGCAGCCAGGAAGTGTGAAGAGCACCTTCCACAGCTTCCCGCAGGTAAGTCTACGGGGTGGGAGAAGCACAAACAATGTGTCAGGGTGGTGCGGGGAGCAGAGGTGACGTGTCCAGGGGCATATGCTCCCTCAGATTTGTGCGGCCACTGGGGGCATGGGGCTTCAGCCTGGCCACACCGGCATGGGGAGCAGCAGACTCTGCATCCCAGTAGGCAGGACCTGGCAGGGGAGGGCAAAGCAGGGCAGCAAGATTCAGTGCTGCCACCACCACCAGGCCCCCCTGCACCAACTATACCACCAGAAATGTGAGGAGTAATAGAGAAGGGAGGGCATGCAGCCCTCCTGCCACCAGCCGCTCAATGCAGTAGGCAATGGCTCTACCCCACCGCCATGGCCTGGCTGCTGCCACTGCTCCCTTCAGGCTGCAACTCTACTTCAGAGGGTAGGTGGGGTGGCAGGCAGAGTGAGCATCCTGCCATTGCAGTGGCAGCAGTTGGGACATGGCAGTGGGGTAGAGTTGCAGCCCAGGAGCAAGCAGCTGGTGACAGAAGAAGTTGAGGACAGTACGGACCCCCCATCTGTTACTCATACTGGAGGCAGCACAGTGAGCGCGGGGATCCTAGCAATGAGTCTCCACTCCCTGCTCCTCCCTCCCGCTCTGGATCCTGCCCACTGGGCTGCAGAGGCAGCTCCTGCCCATGCCAATCTGCCCAGGATGCAACCCCATACCCACTGTGGATTCACAAATATGGGGAGGCATGTATCCCCTATACCCCACAAGCCCTACACACCCACCCCCTGCCCTACACACCAGGGGGCTGGAAAATGGGGCAGTGGGTTGGGAGTGAAGAACACCAGCAGGGCTAGGAGGGTCAGGGAGCTGTGGGTTGGGAGTGATGGGCACTGTCAGGAAGAGGGGGCTGTTTTCTACTTAAACTATTTACTGGGTCTGGACTGGCCATCAACGTTTATAAATGGGTCCTAGTACAAAAGGTTGAGAACCACTGCTCCAGAACACTGTTACAGAAGAAAACAGAAAGGCTCAAATGTACTTATTGCTGGGATTCAACATATACTTATTTTGCTTAATGGAGGCATTTGTTACAACTCTGTGTATTAGGCTTCTAAGGGCCTTGTTGCACATTACACTTAGGACGTTTTTTATTTAGATCGTAGTAAATGATACTATGAGTTCAAAAGTTTTCCGAGCAGCCACATGGCAATGCTTACTATGATCTAAAGAAAACACATCCTAAACACTGGAGCCAGTGAATGGTAGCTGGGACCAACAAACAGATTTTTGTTGGTCCCAACTCCACCACCACACTGGAATCTCAAACCAGCTCCAGTGCAGTTGGCAGGAGGCGTTGGGATACTTGTACTCTAGCTCTAGCGTTGCTACATTACAATAGCACTTAGCACGTTTTACTGTGTAATGCTTGGATCCTAGCAATGTAAGTGAAGTTAACATGTTGAAAGTGTAACATGCAAGAAGACTAATATATTCACTCACTCAGAATTAGCTGAGGGTGCCTAAATCAGGCAATGCTGTGCACTGCACCACACTGGCAACTTATAAGAAGCCTGAGGATTGTATCCAGGCCTGGCCACACAGTTGCTACTAACTTCAGTGGGAGTTTTGCCTTAGGAATCTAAGACACACGTACTCAGCTGTAAAAGCATCTTATACCCATCTATTCCTTACTATATGGTTAGAAATGACTGCTAATAATTGCTCTATCTCAGCAGCCAAGAATACAGCAACATTAGAACGGAATTAGCTTTTGGTTCAGGAATCTCTGAAGACTTCTGTTCTATGCACAAGATACAATCAACTGGCTGGAGGGTAGCTAAATTTTGCAGGCTACTCTTATCCCTCAGGCTCTGCTTTGGACAACCATGCTGTGTAATTCTGGCCTTGAAAAAGGTTTTTCAAGGCCAGGAATGGTGTCAAATTGTTTTGAAGATGAATAACCTCTTAAACACACATATATAAATGAATCACATGCACAAGTAGAAGTAATCTACTTCTTCAGATCAGTGGAAATTAGGTCTTTTTCACTAACTATAAAGATGGTATATATACTGTGTAAGACGGTAAAATTATGTCAAGGAATGAACAGAGGGCTGGCAATGAAAGACAAAGGCTCACCCAGGGCTATGGACTATTATGGTTAGGGTACATGAGTTTCCATGGACAACAGCACACCAAGGCATGGTGTGGTTAGCGTCACCTCCAGCTACCTTTGACACCCCACTCTAATAACCAATTATCAATTTATAGCTGTGTTGACTAGGGCACAGTGGTGACCAACCTTTTTGGCAGGCATGCTACAAATTAGCCTTGTACTACCAAGTGCCATTCCAGTCCTTTGCCCCTACCCAATCTGCTGCTCAGTCTCTGCTCCCTGACCAAGCTGCTGCTCTGCTTTCTGCTCCATGACCTATTTGCCACTGTGCTACCTCTCCCTTCCCAACCTGTTGTGTGCCACTCAGAGGCTGCCCATGTTATTTGTGGCACCCACGCTGCAGATTGGCTGCTTCTGGAATAGGGGCAGATTTTGACATGAGCTCAAAGTAAGATAATGAACTCAGTTGCTTCTGAAGCCATAACAGGACACTGTGGCTCTGCCACTAAGATCCAACAGGCTGAGAATCAGAAGATACTCATTCTAATCCTGGTTCTGCCACTGACTTCCTATATAGCCTTGTATTAGCCATTTTACATGTTCATTTTTGGTTTCCTCTCTCCAAAGCAAGAAGCATAATACTTACCCACCTACCCCAAAGGTTAGTTGTGAGAAATATTCTCTACACAATACCTTTAAACATATAGGACAAATCATCATCAGTGATCAATTATTTTGACTGCCCAATTTGAGGTACCATAAAAGGGACAGATTTTCAGAAAGCATTGATTGTTTTCCAAGTGAAAATCAGGCATCTTTAATGCGTCTCAAGTCAGGTACCCAGAAACCACTCGTCACTATTGAAAATCTTGGTAATGTGACAGCTACTAAAATGCTAAGTACTGTGATGATAAAGTAATGCATTATAGCATGGTGTTATAGTCACATTGACAATGTCATAGTCGCCATGACAAACATTTTCTCAAGTCTTACCTCAAGAAATCCACGATTATCCAGGAAGGTTCGTAGATACGTGATGATTTTGGCCCTTGTAATAAATTTCTGTCTCACATGCTCATTCATAATCAAATCCAGATAACGCTGACGATATCTGGTTTCCTACAAGGAATCATTAAATAATGATAATATAGATATTCTTGAAACTCAGCGTCCAGACAGTTACCTAATATTCATTAGATAAAATTAGTCATATCCATAGTCAGGCATGTATTTCTTTTGACTCAGATGTATAGCCATTTTAAACATTATAATCATGATTATGAATTAAAAAATGGAATTCTTATTACTAAACAGAGCAAGAGGAGAGCAAAGAGATTAACAAATGTTAAAAAAAAATTGGAAATAGAATTGACAGCTTTTTGGTTCGATTGCTCTATTTGTGAAGTTTGCGTATTGGTATTCAAATCCCTGTCCCAAATTGCTTCATTTAAAAACACATCATTAAACCAATACGTGGCAGGCCACCTTTGGTGCCTGTCACTTTAAGAGATTTGAGCAAGCTGTGGAGCCGCCTGCAGGTGTGGTGCAGCTCAATGAGGCAGACACATGACCAGAAGGGGGCTCTTGGATTGGAAGATGGGGCTGAGCAACCTCAGTATAAACCCAGGCCCTCATAGCTGAGTGGGTAGTTGCTGGAGGGAGCCAGAGAGGACATTGCTAGCTGGAGCGGCTGCTCCCAGAACACCTGGAGGTCAAAGGTAGGAGCTATGGGAATGGAGGAGATTCTTGGTCCTGGGGCATGACCTAAAACTACACCCTGCTGGGGATGGATGGTGTGATGGGGCTGCTTGTGGTGGGGTGGTCCCTAGGAAATGCCAAGCCAGTGCCTCCCTCGTAAAAGGTGAGTATGGGGTGCTGTATAGACTCAGCCCCCATAACATGGTGGGTTACCCTGTAGAGGGGACAAGCGAAGGGTCCAGGCATGTCATCAGAGGCCTGGGACCTGAAGGGGCTTAAAACTGAGAGCCCCAGTGAGAAAGCGGTGTACTGGGCCCAGTGAGGTTATGAGTGAAAACAGTGAGAAAGTTGCATAGAATACAGTTTGCATGGGTGGGCCTGAAGGACTGCGCATGGGCTGTGTAGAGTAGGGTCCATATGAGGAGGCCTGAAGGACTGCGCATAGGTCAGCCTTGATTGAGTGAGCTGAGTTTGGAGGGGCCCGAGAAGGTGGAGGGAGAGGGAGGGAGAGCAAGCAGCATTAACCTGACCAGGGAAACCCTTGACTAATCAATGCTGGGGCCAGGACCAGATAGGTCAAAGGGCCAGAGTGCCCACTGTGAGGGACGCCCAGAGCCAGGGGCCTGGGGTTACGACTAACCTGGAGGCAAGGCCAGGGCCTGTGTGGCCAAAGGTCTTAGAGAGGAGCCATGCCCAGAAGGAGAAAGGTTCAGGGAGCTTGGTAACCCGGTATAAGGGCAGAGATTAGACTGCCTGAGTAGGAGGGATCCAGGTGGGGTCCAGATGTCAGGCGGGCATGTAATGAGGTCCATCTTGGGGCCAGAGCTATATAATGATGCCACCTGCAAGGCATGGGACATGGTGTAGGGGTGGTATGGAGCTGTATATTATGCCCTTGGTATTGGGCAGTAAAATGGGCAGCCTTCTGCCTTGTAAACATCTTCCTGTTAGTTACATCAAAGGTGTGGCAAGCGAGGCAGGTGGGCAGACTGCCCTAGACAGGTGGGCAGGCCAATGATTTGATGGCCCCCTGTCACAATATAAAAAAATATAATGCAGGGATGTATTTGTGATCTCGGCAAGTCCATGGTGGTAAGGGTTGCAAGGTCAAGGGGCAAGGCAGGGGGGCTAAAGATAGCCCAGACAGGCTCAGGGGAGTGGAAATAGCAGAGCCCTGGAACTAGGGCAAGCAGCTTGGCTTTACCAGCCATGGGGCTGCACTGTGAACATGTACAGGCATTACTTATATCACGTTAACCCAATCTAAGAAAGGGTTAACTCAAACTCTATCTAGGTAAACTAATTTAGATTAGGTACACCATTTTTTGAGCAATTTAATCCCTCTGCATGTCTGCACATTTAGGGCATTTAGATCAACCTAACTGTGGCTAAGTCAATCTAAATATAGTGCCTATACATACCCCCTGAGTCCTACAATTCAACTGATTCACAGACTAGGTTCTTTAAAGTTTGCCTTTTTGAAATTTAAGTCCTTAGTTACAGACCTACTTTTGGTTCTGCTACCATTTTAATTTAAAACAAGTCATCTCATGATCACAGTTATCCGAGATTAATTATATTACTTCCAGATATTATACAAGATCCATAGCTCAGTGTTCAAAGTGCGTGAACAAAATCAAGCTAGCCTGGATTTACTTACTGAAAGAATCAGAAATAAATCCTTTGGAATAATTGTTTCCAGGCAGCTGTTCTGAGTTCCCAGAAGGCTTACCCTACCTTTTTCCCAGAAGGCTCCCCAGGCATTGTCCCTGAATGAAGTTACCTGATCTTTAAGTCCATAATGAAGATGAGGCAACATATGCAGGCATGGTGACAGAAGAGTTATGTCAGATGATATGATGCTCAGTTCTCCATGCTTTGTTCTCCCTGGATATCCTTCAATTCCAATGATGTCTCCTCGTCGCAGCTTATCTATAGTTTTAGTGAAAAGCTCCTCGGACTTGAAAAATCTGACAAGAAGCAGCAGCTGACTTAGAAATGCAAAATTCTTTCCAAACCATTACCTTTCAGGCTAGGGTAGAAAATAACTTTTATGCAAAATAAAACTAAAATCATCCATATAAACTGTTGCTTAGATTGTTCTTTCATTCTTGGTGGAAATCTATCTAGGTCATAGATTACAGTAATATAAATACAACTACCATATTTATTTGATTAGAAGATGAGGTCCCATCCACATTTAACACGGGGGGAGGGGGGAACCCCTCACCTTACAATTAAACACGAGGCAGGAGTAAAGATTCAGTTACTAGTGACATACATTTACAGAAAGGAAATTTCCAGTTCCAACTTCTAAGTAATTTCCACCTTCCAACTTTTCTGGTGTAAATGCTTCTCAGCTGGTGTAGGTCAGCACAGCTTCTCAACATGAATGTAATCATGCAGATTCACACCAGCTGAATGGCCCTGTGACCTGTGAGTCCAACCTAAATAAAACATCATGGCATGCAATTGTGGAACAAGCCACAAACTGAGGTATGGGGACATTTAGCAAATGATTCCTAAAAGAGAACAAATGTATAGGAACTACAGTATGTTAATTCATAATTCAAGAGCAAAAAAGAGGGGAAATTTTATTAGGACTTGTTTGTTCTAACTAGTTTAGCCATTGTAAAAATACTTAGCTTTTATTTAGTATCTGCTTAAAAGCTCACTGAAGTCCATGGGGAGAACTCCAATAAATGGGCTGAAGGTCATCTTTATGGAATTTTCCATTGTTCATAGCTTTATACTAGCATTAACTAACTAATTAAGCTTCCTAGAAGATAATGAGCAATTACATAGAAAAAAGTAAATAATAAAGAGAGAAAGCTACAAAGAGTTTGAGGCAGGTTAGATCTAGATCTGAATTTTGTTTGGCCTGTATCATGCAACACTAGTAAAGGATCATAAAAGAGCACCTGGCTTCTAATACAGGACAAGAAATGTTATTAGAATAGTATTAGTCATAAAGCTAGTCTCTTTTTCCCTCCCTCTCTGTCTTCCTCACTACACAGCTTCTACCCAGAATCTTCATAGATTTTCTTGCAACTGATTTCAAGAAACAGGACATATATCCTCAGTAGACCCCTCTTTGTTCATAAATAATGTATACTCACTTAGCATTTGCCATAACTTGTAATTTAATTCCATTTCCCCGGAGATCGTAGAAAAACAGCTTTGCACCAGCAGATCTCTTGGCATGAATTCGTCCTAGAAAAGGAGGGGTTGTTTGTATATAAGATCAAAAGACAACTTGGAGGTGAGGAAAAATTCCCTGTCTGGTTACAAGTATGTAACCAAACCCACAGTAATCTTTACCGAGGAGTCAGAATTCTCCATCCTTTTTTCTATTCTTCCGACCTTTGCTTACAAAGGAGAGACCACTTCATTGAGCATCCCTCCCTTCAGAACCCATTTGGGAGTACCAGAAAAGTTGCTGCTGATCACTGGTAGTGGTCATGTGTAGGGAGTGCACGTGCACCCCCTGACAGCACCAGTGCACCCCCTGTCAGGCCACACTCCCTGTTTAGCCAGAGGGCAGGGGGACAGGCAGGAGCATCAGTGCCCCCCCTGCGAGTGCCAACTGGGGAGTGGGACCACCAGCAAAAGTGGCTACACCGCTTCTGCTTTTTGGTGAGTGAGATTGGGAGTGGGGAACTCCCCGGTCAGCATGATTGGCTGCTGGAGGACCCCCCCAGCCACTGACTAGTGGCCCCCCTGACTGAAGTGGCACCAGTCACCCATGACCACTGGTGGACTGTGGACCAAATTTTCAGGAAATCTAGTGTAAGCTCACAAACAACTAAAAGTAGGCCATTCTAATGCATGTTGTAGTTTAAGTTTATGCTGATTGTCATGTCTAGCAGGGAATGGAATATATTATATGTTTTGAAAAGTAAATATATTATATATATATGGATATTTACACACACCATTTTTCAGGTATAAGAATGATATGTCCTGCCAATTTTAATCCAGAAAAAAAGTGTGCCCCAAGTATCAAAAGTTTGGGAAACACTGATGCAGAGTTTAACCTGGTGTCTGCAAACACTTCTAAGTAAGCAAGTTGTGACATAATTACTACACTTAGCATCCTCCTCCGAGATAAGAGCTGGGTATTGATATACGTCTCATAGATTCCTTGAAAATGAACAAGAATGTTGATATCCATGATACAGTTCAGGTTCCTGATTTACAATAGATACGCTGCCCTGCATAACACAAAGGAGGTGATACTAGTGATAGTGAGGGTGCTGAATGCAGCAATAACTGATCTTTAGATATAAGGAGCTACCCAAACCTTATTATTTTCTTTTGGGGTTTTTTTTAATTCATCCTTCATCTTTCCACCTCTGCTGAAACACAGGGCACCAGTCCAGCACTGTCAGGTTTCATAGTGTCATAGTTGGTACTGTCAGAAGGGACCTGAGCAGATCATCAAATCCGACCCCCTGCCATGGGCAGGAAAGAATACTGGGGTCAAACGACCCCGGCGAGGTGTCTATCTAGCCTCCTTTTAAAGACCCCCAGGGTAAGAGAGAGCACCACTGCCCTTGGAAGTTGGTTCCAGCTCCTAGCTGCCTTGACTGTGAAGTAGTGCCTCCTGATATCTAGCCTGAATCTACTCTCTGTCAACTCATGGCCGTTATTCCTTGTTACTTCCAGTAGTGCTAGGGGGAACAGGCCCTCTCCCATTGCCTGCTGGTCTCCCTTGGCCAGTTTATAGACGGCCACCAGATCCCCTCTCTCAGCCTTCTGTTGTGGAGGCTGAACAGGTTCAGGTCTCGTAGCCTCTCCTCATAGGGTCTGCCCTGCTGCCCCCTGATCAATCTCATATAGAGGGGGAGGATCACCTCCTTGGACCTGCTCGTGATGCATCTGTGGATGCATGACAAGGTACGGTTGGCTTTTCTGACCGCATCCCCACATTGGCGACCCATGTTCATCTTGGAGTCTATAATGACTCCAAGATCCTTTTCTGCTTCTGTGCTGATGAGAAAGGAGTTCCCTAGCCTGTAGGTATGCTGCTGGTTCTTCCTCCCCAGGTGCAGTACCCTGCACTTGTCAGTATTGAATCCCATCCTGTTCTCATCCGCCCACCCCTATAACCTGTGGGTTGTTTGACAATGGTCAGTTGAACCCCTTGATTGCATATTCCATTGCTAAGCGCACTTGGCTATAGCTCAGGATTAGACCCACATGTCCAGCGGGGCAGGCAAGATTATTACAAACAGCCCCAGCTGCTAACTAAGGCCGGCTAGGAAAAAACATTGTATGGGGGCAGTTTATGTTATGAGTTACTTTATTTTATGGTAGAGCTTTTGCCATCTTTTTCTGAAACAACTAGAACTGGCTGCTCTCTAGGTACAAGACTAGATAGGCCATTCAGTTAATTCAGTCTGACAAATCCAATAACATTATATTTTAGCCTGAAAAGCTGGTTAAACAATAGCAGAAAATATAGAACGGATCCCAAAAGAATTGGCTCCATTTCTGAAGTATTGGCTCAAAATTCTGGTATGATAGTATACTTAATCTCTAGATAGGCTATGCTGGGCACATCTACATTTGCAATTAATGTATTGAAAGCTTACTGAGTAGTAAAATATTGCATAGTAAGTTTTCCCTGGGAGTGCACCTACACGTGTGCCCATCAGGAACAAATTTGCTCCTGACAGGAGCAGTTCAGAGCAGAGCAAATCCTGAGCCTAACCTCAGGCTAATCCTGAAGACAGGCCTGGGCTCCAGGGGGCGGAAGGAACTGTCCCACCTCTGGAGCAGATGCCCCTGACCCTGCATCCCTGCCTGGCCAGCTGCCTGCTGTCAAGGCAAAGGACAATGACCCAGCCCTGTTTGGCTGACTGGAACAGGGGCTGAGAAGCAGGCAGCTGCCCATGGGAGGGGACAGTTCTTCCTCCCCCACTGCCTGGGTTGACTGGGAGCAATTTGTTCCTGGTCAGCTAGGTACCTATACGTTACTGTGCATTAGTTAATGCATAATAAATCTCTTACCCGAGGTAATAGAACACCATGCATTAGCCTATTTCAGGGGTTTTCAACCTTTTTGGATCAGTGTATCCCCAGCGGCTGGACAGAGTGCAGCATACCTCTGGCAGCCGGATGCAGGGTAGGGGGAAGGGAGGTGTTGCACAGCTGCCGCATGCCAGCTTTCCCCATCCCCCGCATCTGGCTGGGTTGGCGGTGCCTGTGCAACAGCACAGAATGGTGCATGGCGACGCTCTGTCCCTGCCCACCCACGTGTACCCCCTAGGGCCTTCTCAAGTACCGCTATAGGTATGCGTACCCCGGGTTGACAACCCCTGGTCTACTTTAATGCATAGTAGCAGCTGTACATGATTACACAGTCACATTTTACTGTGTAGTAGATTAGTCTACTGTGCAGTAAGGCATCTCATGTAGACGCACCTGCATGTAACTGGGCAAATGCCTTAACCGCTCTACACTTCAGTTCCCTCACCTGCAAAATAAGTATAATATTTACTTATATACTTTGCAATGGTTTTATAAGACTAAGGGCTTGTCAACATGTGGACTCACAAGAAATATGATCTGAATTAACTTTTAAAATAGATTAGTTAAACAGCGTTAAATATCTGCATGGAAAAATCTCATTCAGAATTAAAGTAGTCTTAATTCAATTTAGTTTACTCCATTTCTATAGAGAATTAAGCTAAATCAAGTTAACACCACTTTAATTCTAAAATAGTCTATACAGAGCTCTAATAAAGTTTAACCAATCCAGTTTAAAATTCTCACCTTTAATTAATTTGGATTAAATTTCTTGAGGTTTCCTGTGTAGACAAGCCCTAAACTCATTACTATTTGAAAAGTGCTCTGAGAGGCTCAAATGCTACAGAGCTATATATTATTTTTTATTCTAATTAATGTAACAAATTAAGTTTTCTGCAGACATTGTTAAAGAGTATTTTCTACTCCATCTATCAGAGATAAATCCTAGACAAGAGTTATATAGTCAACTGGAATGTGTTCTGCATTAGCTAAAAGCTTTTTGTCAAATTTGACCTGTGGAAGGGTGGTTAGAGTAGTGCACTAAGAAGTCAGAGAGACCCAGACCCAGGAAAAGTTCCCAGGGAAGAGAGTTGGGGGAGAGAGGCAAGGCTGCATGGCTAGAGGCTGCAGCATCAAGCCATGATACTCTCTCAGGGTCTGGGAAAGACCTCAGGGTTTGAGTGAACCCTTTGTTTATGTATTTGCTTGGTTGCTGATTGAGGGTTTGTGTGCTGTGGGACAAGTTTGCCCAGGAAAGTAAAGCCTATGTTACATGAACTAACAATCTACTGCAATACTGCATATCCCACAAGCCAGTAGCAGGACCCAAACCCTCTGACATTTCCTAATGACAACACCAGTTCCCCAAGTTCATTAAGGAGATTTGGGAAAAGTCTGAAATGTCTGAATAGACAATAATATTTTGAAAACAAGATAGAAAATGCATGGTCTCATCACAGTAGATGGCATTTTCAGTATGATGACTCAGAATAGGTGCATTGAATGTGACTGAGTCATTGGGCCACAATATATTTTTCCACTGCAATCCACCTTCTCTTGTGAACAAGAAACAAATGTTAGGAGCTTTGGGAGTAAACAGAGGTCACTACCCTATTAGGTGCTCACCTGCCAAAGAGACTCGTTTGTCTGGAAAATGCTCCCCTTCTTTCAGGTGACTGAACTTGTCAATGAATTCACAAAGTGTAATGTTTGTAAGGAATTTGTGTGGGTAAGGATGCTCCCCTCTTTCTTTCAGTTGTATGATGGCATCACTTCGAATCTGATGGTATTGCTATAAGAGAGATTTGGACAGAATGAAGGCATACATATTGAATACACTCTATAGGTATATTGTTATTCTACTGTATACACTTAAGTATGAACTCTTATTATAGACAGGGCTGGCAGCACTGCCTCTTATCAGTTACAAAACCTTGTTTCATATCACTTATAACCAGGGATCCTAGTCTTCCATGGGGAAAAAAGCAGAAAATCTCCATCTAAAAGACACAGAAATCTGTGTTTTTCCACAACCTACCCAAAGTGCGACAGCATCCCATAGCAAGCAGAACCACTGTTCTCTTATTTTTGCTGCAGTTTTTGCCTCTCAGCCAATCAGCAGCAGGGTAGGGGGGTAAGGGGGAGGAGGACAGCATGTTACTGATTGGTCGATAAGCAAAAACTGTGGCAAAAATAAAAAAGCAGAAGTAGTGCTGCTCGCCGCAAGATGCTACTGTGCTTTCAGTAGGTCATGGAAAAATATGGATTCCACAGTTTTTTCCACAGAAAATGGAAAACTAGAATTATTACATAACATTTGTAGATTTTAATCTTTTAAGATGAAATTTTCCATATGCAGTATCTTTCTCAGGCAGAATTTTACTTCAGCCAAAACAGTTCGTCCCTTTCAGGAAATAAGCCTAAGCAAAACAAAAACATGGGTTTTTTTAATCCATGTTAAATTCTGTCAATCTTTTCTTTGAACAGCTCTTTTACCATGATACTTTGAAGCAAACACTTGGAATTTGGCTTTTGTAGCAGTGTGTGGCTTTCACTGTCCCTGTGAATATTCACCCAGTGTATAAGTCACTAAAAAATCATGGTTTGCCTATAATCATTAGCGTCGTCTTTGCATTTAGCTGCTAAATTCACTGAGAATTCTGGCCACACTGAGCATGCTTCAGCTTGGGGTTGGGCAGGACCTTCCCCTGCAATTGTAGCTCTGAGCAGTCACACATTTTCAGCCCATACCCATGTATCTCGACTATGAGCACAGAATTTCTCTCTCCCATGCTCTCAGCGTCCCCACTGATGGGCCCAAGCAGTATGGGATAAGATGCTGCCTGATCTGAGTGAATGGTATGCAAGAAAACTCGAACTGAAAGCTAAGGTAAAACACTGAACAGGGAGGGATGGTAGGTAGGCAAGGCAATAAGACCAGATGCAGTGCTTCAGGTCAGAGGTAATACTAGGACTGGTTGTTCAGGTGACCAGAACTAAGAGAGTGAGGAGAGATGGGAGACAAATCTGATGAGTATCTAGGAGGGGAAGTGAGCCTTCCAGGACAAAGATGATGAGATAAGAAGCAGAAGAAGGGAAACTCAGCAATTGTAAGAGGGGTATAGGGAGAGAAATGTTAATTAGAAATGTGGGGGGGGGCGTGGAAATCCCTGGTCAGCTAGTGACTAGAGGCTATGGAGTATGAAAATGACTGGAGGCAAAGAAAGGGGAAACAGAGAACAAGTGAGCAAGGAGGCTGGGATTGTGAGTATAGAGAGGCTGGCTAGAAATAGATGTTGCTGAATGAAGCCGATCAGCTGTACTACAATGTCTTATAGCACAGCTGATCCACCTCACTGGGTGAAACAAGTTATCCCTTGCCCTGCCCTTGATGGTGCAGGACACGGGGTGATATGATTTCTTGAGATATCTCTGGGTTTGCAGGGAAAGCCCTGATTAACCTTCTCAGCCAGGCCCATCCCCAGTGATTGCAGGAGCAAGTCTGGCTGAGTGGAGAAAGTGGGCCTTTCCCACTTATGAACAGGCACCCTGAGCCTCTCAAAGATGTCTGTCTGTAAGCAGAAAAAGTGGGCAAATGCTCTGGGGTGTGAGGGGTGCCCAAGCCCCCAAAGCACCTGCTCAGAGTAACTAGAGAGTGGAAGCCGTTTAGGTTTCCAATACTCTCCTGCCATAGTGCTAATAGACATCCACCATAACGAAACGGCAGAGTTTATGACTAGCTTTTGTCATGCCACTGATGTTCCTTTCATGTGGCACAACAAAGGGTAGCAATGTCTATTTGCTTATCAGAAAAGTTTTTATGGTGGCACAAATGAAATGTCAGGCAATGTCTGTTTCTACTTGCTGAGACAAGAGACAGAAAATCCATAGGGGTGAGATTAGGATTTGCACTCAGCAAGGAGAAGGGAACCAAAATGAGGAACTGTAAGTGAGGAGGAAAGAAGTCTGAGAAAAGATAGGACAAGGGATCATGTTTTGTGGAAAGGGAGGGGGAACAGGGAGGGAGAAATTTGTACCCGCTAGAGCATATTCCCCTTCAAAACCTAAAATGAAACCACCCTGTCACAGAGACTTGCAAGGCAAGCCATACAAGGAAATGCTGAGGGACTTGGGCCTCTTCAGCCTAAAAAGGAGAAAGCTGAGCGGGGACTTGGTAGTAACTTGCCACTACATCAGGGGAATACATCAAGGGCTTGGCAAACAACTGTTCACCAGGGCACCCTTGGAGAAAACCAGGAGTAGTGGCCACAAACTCCTGGAAGACTGTTTCAGGCTTAACACTAGGAAAAACTTCTTCACAGTCACGGTGTTCAGACTGTGGAATAAACTCCCTCCAGAGGTGGTGCAATCACCTACCCTGGAAATCTTCAAGAGAAGTCTTGGATGGTTACCTTGCTGGGGTCATCTGACCCTAGTTGTCTTTCCTGCCTAGTGCAGGGGGGCTGGACCCTGATCATGAGTGACTGGTGCCTCTTGAGTCAGCAACTGGGGTGTGGGGGGTCTCCCCATAGCTGATCTCACTGACCGGGCTTCCCCCATGGCCAATCTCACTCACCAAAAAGTGGCCATATCACTTCCAGAAGTCCCGTGGGCACTTTTGCTGGTGGCCCCACTCCCCAGCCAGCGCTCGCAGGGGGGGCACTGGCACTCCCGCCTGCCTCCTTGCCCGTTGCCTAAACAGGGAGCGCAGCCTGACAGGGGGTGCACCTACACTGTTAGGGGGTGCACATGCACCCCTGTGCACCCTCTACACATCGCCACTGACCCTCATCTTGCAAGATCCTTTCCAGGCACTTACAGTCTATGAATCTATTCTTTGCTATGAACAAACATGTTTGAAAAGCATTCACAAAATTCCTTTCTAGTACCTATCCATATAGAGCAGGGATGGGCAAAATATGGCCCACAGCCCAGATCCAGCCCACAAGGCCATTCTATCTGGCCTGCGGGGCCCCTAAAAAATTAGGAAATTAAAATGTATTTGTCTTTGGTTCCTGTCAAAGATGAAAGAAACCAAGGGCAGTAGGACCCAGTGGAAGCCCTGGGGAGCTCCTGCAACAGTAGGGCCCGCCTAGCCCTGCCGCCCCAGCTGAGCTCCAGCAGAGACTTCTGGCCTGGGACCATGTGGCTCCCCAGCTTCCCCAGTATAGGAAACTCAAGGAAGGGAGGGGTGTGGGGAAGGGCAGGGAACTAGCTGGCGCTGAGCACAGGGAAAGCGGCCCCTCCACCTCATGGCTGGTGCTACCTGCCGGAGCTTGCACACTGCTCAGCAGCAGCAAACACTGCCCGGCGCAGCAAGAAGGGGGGCCACAGCTGCTGCTGCTATGCACAGCCCCGACAGGCAAGCCCGGAGCCAGCTTGGGGCCCAGGTTGGCAGCGGGGGCGGGTTACAAGGTGGTGCTGAGTGCGGGGGAAAAGCAGCCCCTACCCCATGCCCAGCGCCCCACGCTGCAGCCACTCGCAGCCTACATGGGGCTACCTGTGCCTGCTCCGGACAGTCCTGTGAGGGCTGCAAGCAGCTACAGCCGGGAGTGTGGGCCACAGGGCAGGGGAGGGGCTCCTTTTCCCCCACGCTCAGCACCAGCTCCTTCCCTACCGGTGAGCAGTGGGTCAGGGCTGCGCACTACCCCACATCTGTACCATGGGGCTGGAGGGGCACTGGGAGTGAGTGGGTGCATGGGACCCGCACCCATGTCCAAGGGCCAGCCCAGAGCAGGGTGGCAGAGATACAGGGTCATGGCTGGCAGGGTTTCTATAGAGCCAGGCCAGCTCCCCTCCTCTCCCTGCTGGTACAGCCCAGTCTGGCTCTACAGACCCCTGCCAGCCTGCACCCTGTTCTGGGCCCCACCAGTGCTGGCCATGGGACATTGGTCCCAAGATGGTGACCAGGGGGCAGGGCACCTGTCAAGGGGCGGGGCTACCCATGCGGCCCTTGACAGCTTGTCACAACTTGGTAAGCAACCCTCAACCCAAAATAATTGCCCACCCCTGATATAGAGGATGCTATAAGAATTGCTGCAAGTCATACCATTAGCTCAAGCAACGGAGATGTTTGGTGAGTTCAGTCCCACTGATGACTCGCGTGGGAGTCGACACAATGCCAGATAAAAATTCTTGTTTTCAAGTTTGCTTAAAATACATTAGTAGGATGCAGTTGTTGTTCCTAGAACACTATGCCAAATGGGCATAGGAGTGTTTTATTGTATTACCTGTTCTATTTTTTTTTAACTAAACATTGTTTTCAAGGGTGGGAAGGATGGGTTGTGGGGGGACAGCCATGGCTTTCTTTTTGAGGGGAAGGTACAGCTTGTGAAGGACTGCAAGCAGGGGGATTCCTCTGGGTGTGAGCCAAGGGAGATGAACTGGGTAGGAATGGGAGGCAATATGGGGTGGAGGGGATTTTTGTTCTCTTTTACAGAAGTATTGAATGTGGGTTGGAAAGTGAATTTGGTTGCTGGGGGAACAGACACTCTCTTTCAGAGGCAGGGGGTTGAGAGGGAATAGACTGTTTTTGAGTCCCAGGTTTTAGGGGTAGGGTTGCTCTGTGGTACCTTCTTGTGTTAATATTTTATTCTGTTTCTATATGTTTTTCTTTTATTATAAGCCACTCTGAGTCTTTTTTCAGAAAGAATGATATATAAATCTAACAAACGTGCCACTGAGGAGGGAAAATAAATTGGTTCTAAGTTCTCATGTTCTGAAATGTCTCTTTGGAGTAATTTAGAGTAACTCAGAGTAGATATTTGATTGCTCTGACTTTTGGCATTTTGC